CGCCTCGGCTGACTCTCGAAGTCTCAGGGTCGAGCGGGTGACTCGCTCCTGAACCTCTTTCAGTTTCATCCCGGCGGCAGCAGGGAAAGGCATAACAATCCATACGGAGAAATAAGAGTCTTGCATTAATTGCCCTGGGGAATAGAGCTGCTTTCTCGGAATTGTGCTGGCGGAGGCCCCGTTCTCGGGCCCTGGATGAAGGCCATGTGTAGAGTAATCATCATTCCTTTAATTGATTCATATCCTGCTTTTCCATCCAATATGGACGAGGTTCTGGCACTGATGCTCAAATATAAGTAATTAAATACAATTTAGAAAGGTCTTTTGATCTGGTAGGTGGCACATTTAACATCCTGTCTTGCCCCAGTTCCACCATTAGGTAGGTGTAAAGTATTCCATGCATGGCTGGGAAGATGGGAGAGTGGCGGGCACATGGGAAAGTTCGATATGCTGTGCTCGAAACATTGGCAACAGCTAAGGGGAAGCAGGGAAAGAAAGGTGCTGTGAGATTGGTTGATGGGCTGGCACATAGGTCGTTCAGAGCAGGAGGGGAGAGTGGTGAGGTCTTCACCTACTCGCCCCATAAGACCGCTTAGGTTTTGTTTTAGCAGAAACTCAGAACAAACAAAATGTCCTAGGTTCTGCTAGACCACAGTCCGCCCAGAACTTGCCAAATGCAATGTGTTTATTTCGGGTTCAAAACAAACTTCATTTTCCATTTCATGTATACATGCTCTTTTTTTTCCCCCAGAATAATACTCATTACATGACAGAAGTGGTCTTCTGTCCACAGACGCTTATGTTACGATAAATCCCATAGTCCTGAAGCCTGTTTGTGCATCGCTTCGTGGCTTTACGTTGTTCAGTTGATGTTTGGACTGATAATTGGGTCCCATTTTATATATGCATTTCCTTCCGGTGCTGCTCATCACTCCCTGGAATCTGGGATGTGCTGGCTTTGGGTCTGAAGCTGACACGGTCCTTCAGAGCAGGCATGGGTGCGACCCTACCACTTCTGCTGGTGCCTCCATAAAGAAGCGGCACCTTTTCTGGGATTGCGCGGTGGCCATGCAATCCAGCAGAGCAAAAGCTTGAGCGAAGGTGATACCGACAAGTTGATTCAGAGTGGGTTGTCTCAACTTCAGACCGAAGGTGTAGGACATCCCCAGTTGGAACCATATAGCTGGGTTTTTCTTCCATTAAGAGACGGAAAGCCAAGTCTTAAGGCACGTTCCAGGCTTGCGCTAGTTCCTCACTGTTGTATCTGACCCACCTCTTTGCCTCCTGGTTGCTTTATTTATTTATTTTTTTCTTCCTTTAGGGACTGGCTGCCTTGTCAAAGCAGTGGAGACCGCTGCAGAGCGCGAAGCATTCATTGTTGGCAAGCCCAGCCGCTTCATGTTTGAGTGTGTGGCCAGTGAGTTTAAGATTAACCCTGCTCATACAATCATGGTTGGTGACCGCCTGGACACAGACATCCTCATGGGCAACAACTGTGGCCTGACGACCCTCCTCACTCTCACTGGGGTCACTACGCTGGATGAGGTTAAAAGCCACCTAAACAGTGACTGTCCTGAGCGCAAAAGTCTAGTCCCCGATTACTATGTTGATAGCATAGCCGACCTGCTCCCTGCTCTCACAGATTAAGAAAAGGAAATGTTCCAGCTACTAAAAGGTATTTCTTCACCCCATCCCACCCTCAGTCTCTTCAGGCTGGTAGTATTTCCTCAGTTAACCATGGTGCACACAATTGCTGCTTGCAAAAGTAAGGTGATTTTTGTGCGTAACTTTCAAATTGAGTTCTCTGTTTACAAATTCCTCTTAAAAATGCACTTTGAAAGAGAGGGGAAGTGTATGTGTCTGTCAGCTTTCAGATGCTATAAAGCATCAGCTGTGTCTTAAAATGTCTGGTGTTCAGGTATCAGGGTAGAGTCTTGCTCAGCTGAGTTGAAGGGGACTGAGCAGGCTTCTGTTTAAACCTTGCACTATGGTGTTTTGTAATGCAATCTTTAGAAATTCAGGGAATTGAGCAGTTTAAGGGCAGCTGCTCTTGTATCTCAGACTTGATTTTAAGATTGTTTTTTATGATTACGGAGGTCTTAGAGAGCCTGGTTCAGATGCGATTTCAGGGGAGTGGAAATCATTGTGTACCCATTAGTAATGTTCTTGCTCCTACCCACTCGCATTTGCACTGCTCTATATGCAAAACAAGAATTATACCATCATGCTTCGTGTGTTCCTCTAGGATGCTACACAAAGAACTTCTGGTTCTGATGCCTATTTTAAAAGTGAATTATGTATTGAAAATTGATTTTATTGGTCAAGAAGCATGCAACAAAAGACCATTGATCAGAAGTTGGATCGGACTGAATCGTGCTTGAATTCCTTGAGTAATGTCAGGATAGACCACTCAGCTCATTTGTCAGTCACTGATGGTGGGAATTCTTCATGGCAACAGTGAATTTACTAGCATTTTGTTCTTCAGTGAGATTTCTGTGTCATAAATATGTGCAGGGTTTTTTTTCTGAAGCCATTTTGGGGTCAGTGTTGATGAAGCAACTACATCAACGTATTTAGTGCTTCCTGTTGAAATCCTGTGGGTTGATGGTAGGGCACAAGAAAAATCCTTCGCAGATCTTCCTTGGCAGTGACTGAGAACAGGTGTGCAAACCATTTTGCCCTGCCGATCTGCAGTAAACATGATTGCACTTTTCAGGTGCTCAGGTAGTTTTCTTCTTGCAGAATTAGTTGCCAGATTGTCTGTCATCTTTAAAAATTAAGTATGTAGACATAAAGATGTTTTAAAAAATCTTTTGGGAACCAGGGAGAGAGATTTCTTTTTTGTTTCAAATATATTTCAAAGAGTTATCATGCGTGGGCAGCATTTTCATTATTGAGGGGGCTTGAAATTTCTCACATTTTCATACAGCAATAATTGCGTTGTCTATAATGGAAGACACTGTGATTAAACTTACGTTAATCTCTCCATCTCTTTTGAAGTGCTAAAAGGTAGATTTTCTTTTTTTTTTTCTTTTAGGTTTATCAGCTTCTCATTTGTAAGTCTAAAGATTGTTCTCCACTTTTGATTATGTAAACTGTTTCTGTTTGAATCAACTTAAAAAGAATGGATCTCTTTTTGGGGGATTCGTGCTTATGCAGTTCCAGAGAGGTTCAGGAACGTGTCAAATCTATATTAAATGCTTAGATCTTCAGGGCTGTTGCTCAAGCATGCTTGCCACAAAGTGGAACCTGTCGTCTGTTTTCATGGCATCTGCATTTCTTACAAAGCTGCACTGTAAAAATACCAAGCCGACACTGTAAAACTGTTACATAACTTCAGTCCTGTCTTTGAGTCACATTAAACATAACTCTTGCTTCTTTTTTGTGTGTGTGATCTTCTAAGTTTACACTGAAGGAAACTTTTTTTTTAAGAGTATTTTAAACCAGAGACCAAGGCACAAGTACACTGATGTGTAATTTTATTTATTGACAGGTTGGGGAAGGAGAGATCCTGAAGCAAAGACCTGGAAGAGGGGTGGGGTTACAAAGACATGCATATTATCACTTCCATTTGATTAGTTACATCACAGTTACAGTTAATTAACAACAATGCAATCAATGTGATTTGTAAGATTAACATTGATTAGGTTAATGCCAATTGGCGGGGCCCTGGAGGCCTTTTCTACCATAATGCCCTTCTATGGAGCATTCTCCCTTCAGAGATTAGGATGGCCCCAACCCTGCTGACCTTTTGTAAGGCCCTAAAGACTGGTTCTGCGCCTGGCCTGGGGCCCCAAGTGTGTGAGCGGTCCCATCTCCTGGCTGTGTTAGTGACTGTTGATTGTGATGTCTTCCTCAGAGGCTGGCTGTTAATTTTTGTATTTGATGGGATTTTTAAAAAATTTATTTTAAGATCATTCACAGCCCAGGGTCGCTTGTTCAGATGAGTGGCCATGCAAATTGAATTAAATAAATAAGTAATGCTCATACATACTGAAATATTAAATGAGTGGATAAATGAAATCTTACTTTACACATAATAGAGTCTTTAAACAAAAGAGTCTCAGAATTATAACTAAACTATTATTTCAACATAATATCAAAGGAATCTTGATGCTAATAATTCTCAAGCACTTATGGTTAACCGCAGTGGCTAGCTTGCATTCCCTGCATTTTCACTTATCTTGTGAATGTGTCATTTTTTAGTCACACCTGAGAATTCCAGGTGCCTGATTACTTTGGGCTAAATTTGGGCTAAATTTGCAATATTGCTTATTGGAAAATAAATGTAAACTGGGGACTATAGTTAATGCATTCCAAATTTCCCCTACAAATATCCCATCTCTGGAGTTTAAAATATTACTTTAAAGGTCCATATAAATTTAAAATTGAAGTAATTCTATTTCTTGTTGCCTCGATTGATTGTAGACCAAAAAACCCCCTCCTGAAAAATACTTGGTTTACACTTAAAATAAAGCAACCTTGTCAGATATTTCCTGCAAAGAAATCCAGCAAAATTAAAGGGGATGAAAGGATTTTTTTTTTTTTTTTAATTGCTGATACCCTTAGGTTTGCAAATGGGGATGTCAACTAAGAGAAACTCCAAAACAACTATTTTCGGTTGTATCAAAAGCTGCACAAAAGAAAAAATTACATCGCTTTTTGAAGCCTAGACATTTTGCTCGCCTTTCCCACCTTTGTCTACATAAAAATTTTGCAATAAAACACAAGCTCCCTTGCTGTTAGCCTGATGTTACTGATTCTAAGTCTCCACAATCCTGCAGAACTACCTTTGACAAAGAACTGATTCCATCTTAAGTTTCAATCAAATGGAAGGTAGTATTAAAAACTAATTCTAGTTCTGCTGATATGTCACATAGAGCCTTTTAAAATTCTGCAACACACAGCCTAGTCAGCCTTAAAACTGCACAGTATTTCTGTATACGTCTACCTTTGTTTTATCTTTGAATCAGTTACTGTCTGTCCGTTGGCATCCTTTAGTGTACCAATTCAAGGTTGCAACCTCTTTCTGAGTTCAAAGATGTTTGGAAGGACCATGGCGAGGAGGGCCTTTGTATAAATACATCTTATGCACCAGTTGCATCTTTTCCCAAATCAGGGGGCACTGCTCACGGTCGCTCATGCCTCAGTCACCTCCCAACTGGACAATTGCATGGGGCTGCCCTTGAAGAGCATCCGGAAGCCGCAGCTGGTCTAGAGCGCAGCAGCACAGACAATGCGCCCATGTAACGCCACTGTCACGTGAACTGCGCTGGCTCCCAGGAGGCTTCCAGGTGCAATTCAAGGTGCTGGTTGTCATCTTTAAAGCCTTACAGGGCATGGGCCAGGTTACTTGTGGGACCGCCTATCCCCAATGGTTTCTGCCTGTCCTACTAGATCTGGCCAGGGTGGGCATGCTCCAGCTCCCCCCAGTGTAACTCTAACCTGGTGGGGCCTGGAAAGTGTGCCTTCTCTATTATGGTGCCTGCTTTATGGAGCAGCCTCCTCCCAGAGATACAGACGGCCCTGACCCTGTTGGCCTTCAGAAAAGCGATGAAGACCTGGCTTTTCCCCCAGGCACTGGGGTGAGGATGTTCATGGAGGTGGCATAGAGTGGCTGATGGATGATTGTGAGTTTTATCAAGGCCTCAACTTTGTTTATTGTTTTAATTTATCTTCGCCAGCCCCCTTCCTGTAATTGTTTTAAATCACCCAAAGAAAGTAAGCTTTGAGTCAAGTCCGTGATTTGTTGAATCGCAGCCAAAATTATGGTAAACAGCGGGCCTCTGAGTGCAGCAATATGGGCCAGCATGTCAGCATGTCTGTTTCTTCTAGCAGCCTCCGACAGATGTTGATGTTCTTTGCACCACACGATAGTATCCTTGGAAGGCAATAACAGCTTGCAATAGTGAACAGTATGAATGAAAGAAGCGTGGGAGATGGAAGTTCCAGATGAAGTTAGGAACTTTCTCTCCCTCTGAAGAACATCAAATGAATTACAAACTCCATGAGTGTATTTTGAGTCAGTAAAAATAGTAAGAACTTAGCCAAATGCCAAGTCACAGACTCTGATGCGTCCAACAAGTTCAGCTGCTGGAGCAGAACATACCTCTGGCAAGGAGAAAGATTCCAAAACCACATGAGAAGAACAAAAGAATATCTGGCACACAATTTTCCAATTTTACCTTGGAGACAAGGCCATCAGAAAAAAAGAATCAAATCCAGATTATCCAAAGGGGTATCAAATGGGTCTGGATCTCAAGACAGAAGTTCAAAACAAAGAGAAATGCAGTCTTGTGGTGATTCATGTGGAGTACCTTCTGTAGAATCAGGCAGAAGAAAAACAGGAGTCAAGGATAGACAACAAATTGAAACAATATTGTTAGTGGCCATCAGAATAACTTTGTGGTGAGCAGACTTCCTGGAAAGAAATACTGTGTGTGTATTTCCCAATAAGCCATAGACAGCATGAGGCACAGCCACTGTAAGAAAATCCCATCACTGTACCTTGTGATTTATCAGTTAATAAAGCAGCAGCTGCAATAGCCCACGAATAGAGTGGAAGACCCCTTGGCCACTGGATCTAGTCCCACCGAATCATAGGCAATAGGTTTAGGCTATGGGCCATTTGGCGGTATCGTTACTCCATTAGCAACACACAAGCTTTCATAACATTAGAACAAAAATGGCTTCTTAAACTCATCTCTTCCCAAAGCAAGGGCAGCAGAAAGCAGCGCTTGCAAGAAGTAAAGCCGGGTCCGCATCGGCATCCCGTTTCAAAGGATCCAGAGCAAGAAGAGGTTTGCTCAAAGCAGAATGTTTAGGGGTGACCAAGGGCAGTATTTAGCATCTTTGGGAAACTTCTTAAGGCTCTTGAGAAGGGTAGAGGGTAAGGCAAGAAAGTTATATGACTTAATTTTAACTTAAATTCCCTTGAGGAAATGAGGTGTCCCAAATGTAACACTTTGGGGAGGCAAAACGGTAATTTTCCTTGAGATGCTTTGTGTCCTGCAGACACCAGAGGGGTAAGTAATCCTAATGAGGCTTCCCAGCATAATTCTTCATAGGAGGCCACCACCAAAAGATCATCAGTGTCTTGTATCAATGTTACCCCTTCAGGAGGGTTTCCTTTAATGCAGTTCTGAACAATGTGGGAGAATCCCCAAATCCATGTGGTGAGCGTGTCTGTGTATAGCAGCTTCCCCAGTAGGGGATGGCAAACAGGCATTGAGAACTTGGATGTAAGGGTACACTAAAAACAGAACCAAGTTAAACGAGTAGCTTCAGTGGGGTAGAAGCAAAACTACATTAGGATTTGGAACAACAGGATGAAGAGGAATTGCATAGCAGTTCTTGGCTCTCAAATCCTGAACAAAACAATATAAGGAGCCTTCCTTCTTTGTCCATCCTTCCAGGCATAGGAGCAGGGAAAATGTTTGCAGGTGACAATGTAGGAATCAATATGTCCTGGGTGAAGTAGGAGATTATTAGAGGTGCTACCCACTCCTCAGCCTCAGGAGAAATGTGGTTTTGTGAAACAGAAGGCATTTTCTCTGAGGAGAGGACCTGTATTTTACTGGAGTTACAGTACTGCTTGCAAGAGACCCACACCCATAAAGAGAAGTCTAGATCAAAGAGATCTTCTATCTTCCACTCCATCAGCCAGGTTTCTTCTGGCACTTCCAAATGAACTCCATCTGAACTCCAATAAATGTTAACATCCAATTTATACAATAGGCCCCTTCCGAAATATTCACTGGAGTATGACCGCTGAGTAAAAAGGCATGCTCAGTAGTCATGGATCCCAGTTGTACTCCATCTGGTTCCAAAAGGAACTGAGAAGGAAGTTGTTCCCCCACTTCCACAGCCCAAATAGATTTATCTGAAGCAGGGAAATTAGGAAAAGAAGTCTGTAAAACAGAAAAGATTGTACTGGTGTCTATCAGCAAAGGAACTTTCTGGCCAGAGACAGATGCACGTACAAAAGGACCAGGCTGGTCCACAGCTACAAAAGTACACTCTTTTTCTAGTGAAATTGGGGCTCCCGTGTCAGGAACTGCGATTGCGAGGTTCTGACATCCCGTTTCCCTAGTAGAAAAGAGCTGGGTTGAATTTTTCCTCCAGGGTCTCGAATGCTGGAGGCTGAGTCAAAACATTATTAATTTGAGTATGTGTTGAGGGAAATGCTTGTAGGTCAGAATGCATCAATGGAGCAAGAGCATTTCACAGTTCCATAACTAGATAAGAACTGGGAAATAATTTTGGAATACTGGTTGGGACACCGGCACCTGGTTAGAACCAAGTTGAACTGGAGCTGGTAGGACACTTGAGGTTATCTCAGGAGCCATCCTTCTCAACTGGGATGATGGCGTGCCTGGCAA